CGGGCCACATGAGTTGGAATGCCCGGAGCCAACTGTAGGCCACTTCGTGTTTTTCTAGTTCCCAGAACTCCATTCCTGGGCCACATTTTGAATGCTGAGGCAGGCTGATGCTGAGGCTGAGGCAGGCTGAGGCTGAAGCAGGCTGAGGCTGAGGCTGAGGCCGAGGCTGAAGGCAGACTGAGGCTGAGGCTGAAGCAGGCTGAGGCTGAGGCTGAGGCAGGCTGAGGCTGAGGCAGGCTGAGGCTGAGGCTGAGGCAGGCTGAGGCTGAGGCTATGACTGTGACTGCCGTTGCCACTGCGACTGTCATCGCGAATGCGACTACGACTGCGAGAACAGCAGAATTCTACAACTGGATTCTCATCTGAATCGTAAGGGAAATGCTTCCAGATATGCTCCTACACATCGCTGTTAGGTTGCTTTGCCGGGATAATTTGTTGTACAGACACGCCCAGAGCCCCGCGGCAGAGGAAGAGGAGGGGAGGGGCGGGAGGGAGGGAGGGAGGACGAGGGAGGGGGAAAAACCTGCAACAAAAGCTCAGCCGGAGGTGACACACGGAGGTGGGAGAGAGGTGCAGTGCCCCAGCAGCGGCCCTGCAGGGCCCCCCCCCCTCCCGGGGCCCCAAAAGAGGCAGGAGTCGTGCACGCCTCTCTCCCCCGACCTCCAGTTATCCCCCCCCCCGACAAGCAACGCCCGACAGGCGGCCCTCGAAGCAGACACGCCGGCATAACACGCAATCGTTTGACGGTCCGCGCGGATTTCCTGGACTGGCGCCTGGGCGCCCTGGCGCGCGCCGAGGGAGGTCCAGTGCGGGGCCAAGAGATCCGCACGGACCTTCGACAGTGTATGCTTCTGCCGTCCTTTGTTTCTCCACGCACGCTGGATCCATAAGAGAGGTGGCGCCGCCGCCGCCGACAGGCCCTGAAGCACGCGTCGGCGGCAGCGGTTCTCGCGAGACACGAAAAAGATGCTCTGCGCGAGGGTCTCGGTGTGGCCGCCCGCAGCGTCATGCATCATGCCCCTTCTCCTCCTGCTCCTCCTCCTCCTTCTACCCCTCCTCCTCCTCCTTCTCCTCATCCTCCTCCTTCTCCCCTCTCCTCTCTCCTTCTCCTGCTCATGCGCCATCTCCTGCCGCTCCTCCTTTTCCTCCCCCTCCTCCTTACCCCTCCTCCTCCACCATCACACAATCTGAATACTACTCTCCTCTCTCCCCTGCTGACGTCCAGAAGATGTCCAGCCCCCCTCCGCGTATTCTTTTTCACAGGATTCTGGGGACATGGGTTTTCGCTTGGGTGTTTGTTTAGACATGTTGTTCCCGCTGAAGCGCTGGCCCCATGGTCGCGCCGCTGGTTGTTCCGAATTGTGTTCCCGCTGCAGCGCGGGCGTTTTCGGTCCTTTCAAATCGGCCCCAACATCTAGAAGATGCCCCCCCGAAAGAGCCATCGGAAGTGATTCCACATCCGGTGTCGATTCGCTAATTTTTCTGGGCCGCAGAAGCTCCCCGCCCACACTCTGGGGCGGCATCGCTTTCAGGAAATAGCGAGAGCCCCGCTCTTGCTTTGAGAAGGCGATGTTGAAAGCAGAGCCAGCGGGTGCTCTCCATCAGCCCCGCCTTGTGCGGAGCTTTTCGGGGAGCCCAAGGAGCTAGACATGGAGCCACGACTCCAGACTGGCCCAGACCTTTCGATGACGATCCACTTACCCTCCAAGGATCCCGGCGCCACTCCATGACATGCTGTGTGATGTTGTGTTTTGCGCCGCTGTGCGATGCCGTGTTTTGCGTTGCAGCTTTTTGGTGATGAAATGCTTCACTGCGCAATGCCACGCCATGCTATGGCATGCTACGCTCTGCCGTGCTCTTCTACGCCATGCCAGGCCGTGCTCTACCATGCATCGCGTACCCTCTCGCGATCATTGCCCTGCTCGACACCCGATGATGCGAACAAAGAAGATATCTACGCCATGGTAAGGGATGTCTGGGAAGGGGCAGGACGTCAGATATGGCGCGAGCGCACCTATCTTGTCCTCCTCCCCCGCCTCCCACTCCTCCGACTCCCCCCCATTCACTCCAGCCCCCGTGCTCCGCCCCATCCCGTCTTCATCCGCAGCCTTCTTGTCTTGAGTGCGTCCGGCTTTGGGAGGCCGTCGCGCGCGCGCGCGCCTGCCCGGGCGCGGGCGCGCGAGTGGCCGCCCACCTGTCAAGGGGTGGAGGGCAGCCGCCTCGGCCCGCGCACTGGCGCTGGCCCGCCGACTAGCACGCTCTCGGCACGGCCGTGCTGTGCACTGGGCGCTGTCCGACCGCAGAGCCCCGAATCATCAGGGGTAACTCGGGTCAGGGTTAACTCGGGTTCGTTTTTCGGGAATCCGAGCCCGAGTTACCCCAGACCCGAGTGACCCCGGATGATTCGGGCGCCCAGAGCCCCACATCATCAGGGGTAACTCGGGTCAGGCCTAACTCGGGTTCCTTTTTCGGGAATCCGAGCCCGAGTTACCCCGGACCCGAGTTGCCCCGGATAACTCGGGCGCCCAACGACCTCCTCGGCGACCGCTGTCCAGCCATGGGGGCGGCCCTGAAGGCCGTCAGGCTCATGGGTGCTGGGGATGACTTCCTGCTTCGTGCAGCTGACGAGGACTGCGGGGGGGCCAGCTGGGCGTGGCACTCACCGCCGCCTGGGCTCGTGGAGCCGCCCAGGTGCCCACGCGCGATCGACTTGCGCATCTTGGAGGAGTTCCGTTCGTGCCTCTACTGGGTGCCGATCCTCCATGGGCGTCCAGCTGATGACCCTGGTGCACGGGATCCGGCCGATGACGGGGATCTTGATCAAGGGCTTCGTGACGGTGCTGGTCGTGCTGCAGCTGTTTGCCCTGCTGCACAGCCAGCCGTCGTGCACATGTTCGGGTTCGGATGTCTCACGGAGCCCTTGATCCAGGCCTCGGCCGTGAACGTGTTCCAGAACAGCTGGTTTGTGATGATGTCGTTAGTTACGATCTTGAGCACGGCGTTCGTGCCGAACGTCCTCTTGAAGGTGAAGTTGTTCGCCCTGAAGTCCCTCAGTTGAAGGTGCTTGAGATGAAGCGCGCCGTGATGGCGCTGTTCGCGACGACGCTGGTAGCTCTGATGCACGGCCAGTTTATCGTGAAGCGGGCCGTCGTACGCAAGTTCGGGATCGGGTGTTTGACGGAGCGTGGGAGCCATAATCACCTGGTTGGCGAAGCTGTTCTTGAGTAGCCATTTCGAGGTGATGTTTTTCTTGGCAGGACCGTTCGCCGTCATGAAGGCCCTCGTCCTGAGCAACCTGTTTGTGCCGAGCTCCCGTTTCTAGTTGAAGCTGCCCGTCCGAAAGTCCCTCCTGATGCAGCGACTTCTGATGAAACGCTCCGCGAAGGACATGCTTGCGATGAAGCCGCTCGCCCTGATGCATGGCCTGCTCGTGGCGAAGCGGCTCGTGATCAAGGCGATCGTCCTGATCAGCCGCATCCTGAGGCTTCAAAGCACCTCCGTGTGGCGCGTGCGCTGCAAGCGCAGTCTCGACCTTTTGTGCGTCGGAGCTTCGCCCAGGTGTGCCGGCGGGGCCGGCTGGTGCTCGCCAGGCGGATGCGCAGCTCGGAGGGACCTGCCGCCCCGCCTGCTCCTGGTCTCGACTCCGTGCCTCGTCAAGCTCGCCGCGCGGCCCTGGGCCAGGATCATGACTCCGACTCCCAGCCACACCCGTTCGGGTTTGCCCCCACAGCTTCCGCCCCCCAGAGAACTGGATCCATCAATGTCCGCAGAGGACTGGCATACTCTCGCAGATGGTTTCGTGCACTTGCCGTACTGAGCACTTCTGTTCGCCTGCGCGCCCATCCCTGTCGACGGGGCAGCTTTGCTGAGGTGGCCTCCGTCCGTCCTTCCGATTCCCACACTGATGATGACCCTGGGAGGGGAGTGCCGCAGGAAGCGGCAACAGTCGTTGGGATGTGGGCGGTGGGTGGGGTGGAGAGCGGGCGAGGATGATGATGACTGGTTGCATGTGAAGCTGTGATCTCGTTCCAGGGCCAGGCTTTGTCTGAAGAAGGTGCCCGCGGTACTTCTGCCAGCTGTGGTTGGGCTGCGCCCTTTTGCGCGCGGGTTGCGCTTGCTAGCCAGGGCTGATGGCCAATTTGTGCCGCCCTTGAGCGGCCTCTGCTCCAGTCCTCATCCCCTTTCCCCTCCATCCCCCTCCCCCACGTGCGATCAGCCCATTCGAGATCATTGCGTTCACTCCCGTGTTCTGTTTGGCTACGTTCAAACTTGCTGCGCTTACTCCCACCTCTCCCACGTCCCCTTGCGATTGCCAAAGAAGGTTGGTGTGTCTGTGTGTGTCTGTGTATGCGGGGGGGGAGGGGGGGGGGGCAGGGGAAGGGGCGCATACTTGGCGGCGTCCTTGCCGTCCGTCCTCGTCGTTCTCGTCCCCGTCGTCGTCGCCCTCGTCCTCGTCGCCTCTCCCTCCCCGCCGCCGTCGCCGTTTCCTTCCTCCTCGCCGCCCTCGCCGCCGCCGCCGCCTTCCAGCTCCTCGTCGTCGTCCTCGTCGTTGCCGCCGTCGTCCTCCTCGCCGCCCTCCTCGTCTGCGCCGGAGAAAGAGGAGTAGGTGGACTGAGGAGGACTGAGGAGGACTGAGGAGGAGGAGGAGGAGGAGGAGGAGGAGGAGGAGGAAGGGGAGAAGGAGGAGGAGGAGGAGGATGAGGAGAAGGAGGCGGAGGCGGAGGAGGAAGAGGAGGAGGAGGAGGAGGAGGAGGAGAAGGAGGTGGAGGTGGAGGAGGAGGAGGAGGAGGAGGTGAGGGAGGAAGGAGGAGGAGAGGGAGGACCCTGAGGAGGAGGAGGAGGAGGAGGACTAGAGGAGGAGGAGGAGGAGGATGAAGGAGGCCTAGGAGGACTGAAGGAGGACTGGAGGAGGAGGACAGGACCTGAGGAGAGAGGAGGAGGAGGAGGAGGAGGAGGAGGAGGAGGACTGAGGACGCTCTGCCAGCCCCCCTGGTGGCCGCCAGGGCGCTGGAGAGCCACCGGGGTGCGGGCGGCCCGCCCGCGGGCTCCGCTGGCGGCGCTGCCTCCGGAGGAGGAGCCTGCCGCGGCCGCAGCGGCGTGCCCTGGCGCCAGCATCCCCCTCCTCCTCCTCCTCCTCCTCCTCCTCCTCCTCCCCTCCTTCTCCTCCCCCTTCTCCTATCCTCCTCCTCCATCGTCCTCCTCACCCTTCTGAACCTGGCCTGGTTTAGTAAAATTTGCTCTTTCTTAGCTCTAGCCTGCTCCCTCCTCCTCCTCCTCCTCCTCCTCCCCTTCCTCTTCCTCTTCCCTCCCCCTCCTCCTCCTCCTCCTCCTCCTCCTCCTCCTCCTCCTCCTCCTCCTCCTCCTCCTCCTCCTCACTTCCTCCTCCTCCTCCCCTTTTCCCCTCCTCCTCCCCCCCCCCCTCCTCCTCCTCCCTCTTCCTCCTCCTCCTCCTCCTCCTCCTTCTCCATCCTCCTACTCTTTCCCCCTCCTTCTCCTCCTCCTCCGCCTCCTCGTCTCCTCCCCTCCTCCTCTCCGCCTGCCTCCTCCTCCTCCTCCTCCTCCTTCTCCTCCTCCTCCTCCTCCTCCTCCTTCTCCTCCTCCTTCTTCCCTCCTCCCCCCTCCTCCCCCCTCATCCGCCCTCCTCCCCCCTCCTCCGCTGCTCGGGGGTACCGGCGTGCCATGGCGCCAAGATCGCAGAGCGGACCCAGACATGATCGCGTCGTAGAAAAATCAGGACGGGAGGTTTTTGGGGGGCATCTTTCGGCCTCGGGGGGCCCTCGCTGGGCCTCGGGACCGTTGAAAAACGGCTCAGGATGATTACGCTACTGAGGAACCCCACATACTTATATTATGGCTGGAGTGATGATAGCTGAAATGAAGCATGTGAGAATGATGTTGGTGGCCGTTCCCTGCGCACCCCCTATGGTGTCGAAAAAGTGCCACGCCTGCTACGCCCTGGACGACCAGCTCGGATATCGGCCGCGCTGAGAGACCACCACCTGCGGACCCCCTGCTACGCGGATGGGCGGAATGGGAGGGAGGGGCGGAATGGGAGGGTGGGAAGGAGGATGGGGGGATGGGGGCGACAGAAACCAGGGGAGGGAGGAGGAACGAGGGCGAAAGGGACAGTGCGGAGAGGAAAGGGAGGGACGGAAGGCAGGAGAGAGGATTCTGCTCTCGATGAGCCAGTCGCCTTTTGTGGGCACTCCGCTGCGTTGCACAAAGCCTGCGAAGGTTTACCGATGGGCGAAGGAAAGCGGCCGCTGGGGGAGGTCGAGGAGGGAAAAGGAGGGAGAAGGAGGGAGAATAGGAAGGAGGAGGAAATGAGGGAGAAGAGGAGGGAGGAGCACAGGAGGAGGGAAGGAGGCAGGGGGAGATAGAGGAGAGTCATGCCAGGGGGGCAATGCAAGGGGGGGAGAACGCATCTCGTTGAAAGGGAATCTACGCCGCACCAGCGCAGAGACCCCGGCGGCGCGGCGCGAAAGTCAAAACGTGTTGTGCGTTCAACTCGAGCCAGAATGTTTACAGTCCTGCTGTGGAGGGAGTGTCACGCCGGGCATGCCCTGCGCAATGGTTCGCATAGACGCCGCGCTCAGGGACCACCCCCTGCGTACCCCCTTCTGGCGTCGCGGAACAGCCACGCCTGCTATGCTCTGCGCCATGACCCGCATGGACGCCGCGCTCGGGGACCACTCCCTGCGCACCCCCTCTGGCGTCGAGAAAGTGCCACGCTTGCTATGCTATGCGCCATGGCCCGCATAGACGCCGCGCTAGGGGACCCCCCCCCGCGCACCCCCTATGGTGTCGACAAAGTGCCACGCCTGCTATTCCCTGCGCCATGGTCCGCGTAGACGCCGCGCTCCTATGCCCTGCGCCATGGCCCGCATAGACGCCGCGCTCGGGGACCACCCCCTGTGCACCCCCCATGGTGTCGAGAAATTGCCACGCCTGCTATGTCTCGCGCCATGGCCCGCATAGACGCCGCGCTCGGAGGAGGAGGGGAGGTGAATGAGACTCGCGGGTGCGACGCGGCAGGGATGAAAACCAGAACCCCACGAAACATGTGGGGAAAAAGCCGGTCTCGGGGACGCCGTATTGAAACATTCAGGACGTCGCATGGTTGGCTTGGGGGCGAGAAAGTCTACCCGAGGTAAATCCATGCGGAGTGCGCTCGGTTTCCGTCTGGGCATACTCCGTCTGGACGTCGCCTCTCCTGACAGGAGGCGACGTCCAATCGGAAGGAGTCCAGGCGGAGTGCTCGGTCTTCGTCGATCTTTCTTCTGTCTGAACCTGGCCTCCCCTGGCCCAGGATCGGTGTAATGTGCCTTCCTGGCCCAGCCAGGAAGGCCTACACCTTAGGCGATGCTTAAGAAAACCTCAGTTTTCGTCCAGAGTCTCGATTATTCTTAACTTTTCAATCTAAATCCCAAGATTTTGATAGAATTTCGCAGGGTGTACGCACCGATCCGCGCCCTCCCCCAGCACCGTCCTGTCCCGTCTTTCGGAGCCGCGCCCCGGCCGGCGGCCGCGCAGGGCGCTCCCAGAAGAGGGGATATGGCCGCGGTGCGAGAGCGCCCGGCGCCGTGATGCCACGGCGCCCCGCCTGCAAGCCAGCCAGGCCATCGCGTGCGCGTGTCTGCGCGCGCGGAGGAGGGCAGGAAGACAGGGCGACGACGACGACGACGACGGACGACGACGACGACGACGACGACGACGACGACGACGACGACGACGACGACGACGGCGTATGCACGATTCGGCTACAAGCAGGAGTGACCCTGGGCAAGAGTGACCTCTGCCGCGCGGCTCTTTGAGGGCCGCGGGGGGGCCAGAAATGCAAGCGCGCAGGAGGCCACTGTCGCATCGCGCTCGGCGATCGGGGGGGACCCCAGTGGGCCCAGACCAGAGGTCACTCCCGCGAAGGGTCACTCTTGCGTGAGCAGTCGGCCCGGATTAGTGGGTCGACCCTGCCAGCTCAAGGGTACCCTTGTGCCCTGTGCCTCGCGACGCGTGCCTTCTTGCACTCCAGTGGCGATGTGGCCCTCGGAAGGGTCTTGTGTCCTCTCGCGTGCCCTCTCCAATCGGGGCCAACTGTAGTCGAACGACGGCGCGCTGCGAGGAACGCACCCACGGCGCACGACGCACGCACGGAGGATGAGGAGGAGGAGCAGGAGGAGGAGGAGGAGGGGGAGGAGGGGGAGGAGGAGGAGGAGGAGGAGGAAGGAGGAGAGGAGGAGAGGAGGAGGAGGGAGGGGGAGGCGAGGATGAGGACGAGGGAGGAGGAGGAGAGGAGGAGGAGGAGGCCGCCCCCGCAGGAGGCCGCCAGGGCGTCTTCCGGGTGCCCGCCGGCGCCATCCTCGCAGCGCCGCTGGAGGCGGTCGGGCCCGCCCTGTCCAGGCTGCAGTTCCGGCCGGCCGCCACAGGCCCGGCGCTCCTCGCGAGGGCGAGGGGGGCGAGGGGGAAAAAGGGGGAGGGGAAGGATACCAGGAGGAGGGAGGAGGAGGAGGAGGAGGAGGAGGAGGAGGAGGAGGAGGGGGAGGAGGAGGGGGAGGGGAAGGATACCAGGAGCAGGAGGAGGAGGAGGAGGAGGAGGAGGAGGAGGAGGGGGAGGAGGAGGGGGAGGGGAAGGATACCAGGAGCAGGAGGAGGAGGAGGAGGAGGAAGAGGAGGAGGAGGAGGAGGAGGACTTGGACGAGGACGAGGACGAGGACAAGGACGACGAATAGCACATCCAGAAGAAATTTGAATTCTGTGTGCCAGTTTGGGCCGCAAGTAGCGAGTCAGTACAATCTGGATGCGGACTGTGTGGTGCATTATATGTGTCGCAGTTCGGCTTGCCGAACTTGAGATTGCCAACTCCACTTTTCGCGCAACCATCCCACCCACCAGCCCGCAGCTTGGTTTGCAAAACCCAATCGGCGGCGATTTCGATGACCGCTTGGCGCTGGCTGGCTGGCGCATCCCTGCGGCCGCGCTAGGGCGCGCAGGCTCGCACGCAGAGCGGCCAACTAGTCTAGCGCGACCGGCGCGGCCGCGGTAGCGCTGACCGCTGGGGACTTCTCAGTGCGCTTGCAGGCCGCGGTGACGCGCGCCCATTTCAGTGCGAGTCGGTGATTCGGGCGGGCGCGGTATCATGGCGACGTCGACAACGGCAGACACGATGATGATAGTAGCGCTGTTGGTAACGGCGATGACGATGACGGCGCCGATGCTGATCACGCCAACGGCGATGATGGTGTCCACGTGTCGGTGCTGGAGGTTTCAAAAGAAATTCGACATGCGCGCGCGAGGGGCATGTAGTGATTTGGCAGGGCTCACGCACCCCAGCACGCGCAAGGACGCTCGAATCATTCCGACATTCGCGCGCGAGGGGCCCGTTTATTCGCATGTTATACAAATGCTCGCAAATGATGCTGTGAAGAATTCGCAAACGCACGCGCGATATTTTTTTTGTGACAAGGCATGTTGTTTCACAGTGTGTGTTTTGTTGTAGTAAGTTTCGGGGCGCTCGGTTCCGAGCCCCTGCACCTATATTAGCAATCATCGAGGCGATCTACACGGCACGACGCTGTGCAGTCAGGGAAGCGGGTGCAGTTTCGAGCTCTCGGCCGCAGCTCGCGGGCATCTGCTAGGGGTGCCCTCCCGCGCCGATGTTGTTCGCCATGTGCATGACAATTCTGGCATCACATGCAAGGGCTGCCCCTGGCCAAAGCGCAGCAGACGAGGGAGAGCGTGTCTACGAGGATGACACGTTCATCGGTGCGTCTTGTGCGGACACCGCACCCTCATATACGCAGGCAAACGACATGGCCGGCGCAAGTTACAGGTTCAAGTACAACTGGAAGAAGTTCGATTTTTTTCCAGCCAGGTGCACAGCCGACATTACGAAGGCCGACGGCACGCCCATCAGTCAGAAGGACAGCGTCGTGCACCTTGGGAGCATATTCTCTGCGGGCGGGGGTGTTCAAGCAAAAGTGAAGAGACGAGTTGGCGCAGCCAGGGCGGAATCTGATACGCTGTCGCGCATCTGGTCCCACACTGCAAGCCCTGTGTTCCGGAGGATCCGTATCTTTGAAGCGTGCGTGCTGAGCAGACTGTTGTACAGTAGGCACACTGGATGGCTGAAGGGTGCAGGGCGCACCCAGCTGGACGGCTTGCAGGCCCGCTGCCTCCGGAAGATACTGCGGACTCCACGCTCGCATTGCAGTCGCGTTGCCGACGCAGCCGTTCTCGAGCAAGCGGGGCGTCAGAAATTCAGCAGCCTCCTCCTGCAGCGGCAGCTCGTTCTCTTTGCAGCGACTGCGCGCGGGAGCAATGATCACCCAGTTCGCAAGGCAGTTTTCCAACTGTCTTCAGTTCTCCCGAAGCCTCCCCCGGAGAAGAGGAGGAGAGGCAGACCTCGCTATGCATGTACCAGGGGTTTGTTTCAAACGTGCGGTTGCCGCCTGCGCCCGAAGCGGGCTGCAGTGGAGCCAAGGGGCTTACATTAGATTCGGCATGTGGAGTGGTGCTGTGCGAAAAGGCAGCCGCTCGCAGGAGCTACCCGTTTGTGGTCACGTGCGCACACTCACCTCCTGGTAGAGCAAATTGCGCGAAGCCTGAGGTTGTTGACTGGTTCCTGGCCTGCGCGAGCGACGAGGCGCGCGCGCGTGAACTTCGTCCTGTTTTTCTGTGGGGGGGGGGGCAAAGGGTTATTGTACTAGGACGACTGATGATAAACGAGTATGCTTGCACAGTGCGTTTTGGTGAGGACGGTGGGGTGTGGGTGGGGTCGAAGTCGATTTTGCTGGGATGGCGTGCGTTCGAATTCAGAAAAACGATGGGCAGAATCATTTGTGAAGTGCACATCTCCAAAAAAGGGGTCGATGATCCCGGCCCTGGGGGAACGGTCGATCCGAATTCGCTTTCAGATCGGATCGCGCACGTGTTGCAAGCTATGCGGCGTAACGTTCCTCAAACACTGTTTGCACGTAGGGTTTCTTACATCTCGTCTGAGGAAGTCGGCCTGTGCGCCGGTCTAGCGGCTATGTAGTCGCCGTCGCCGCCGCCGTTTTTTTCGCCGCCCGTCGTATGGGTTTGTGCATCGGTTTGGCGGTTATGTAGTCGCCGTCGCCGCCCCGTCGCCGCGTCGTCGCTTCCCGTTTTTTGGGCCTGTCGGTCGGTCTGGCGGCTATGTTGTCGCCGTCGCCGCCATTGCCGCTCGCGTCCGCCGTTTGATTGCTTCACGCAGATTGCATCACATAGATTGTGTCGTGTCGATTCCCCTTTCTAAAAAAAGAATATATAAACTCTACCCCCCCGGACTTAACGCTCCCTCCAGGGATAATATAATTTCATATTTACATATATATATGTATATATATATATACGGCAAACTCGTTTATCCTAAATATGAAATCGTATCATCCCAGCCAAACCGGTTCCCACCCCCCTGAGGTTCCCTTGTGAAAAAACACGATGCGGTGACATGTTTTGGTTTAGCGTAACAATTGTTCTACGAATCCGTTACAAAAGGTTGACGAAGTGCGCACGCGCGCGTCGTCGCGCGCGCATGCCGAAATCCTCCAAAAACCTTCGGTGCCGGAAGGATTTCGCAATCGCGCGTCCAAAAAACCTGCAAAAAACAAAGGTTCCGCAATACGGATTTTCAACAAAAGCGTGCGCGCGCGCTCTTGCGTCGTCGTCGTCGTCGTCGTCGCCGTCCTCCCTCCTCCCGCGTCGTCGTCGTCGTCGCCTACGTCGTTTTCTGTCTTTCCTCGTGTTCGTCGTCGTCGTCCTCTTTGGCGTCGTAGTCGTTTCCGTCGTCGTTGTCGCCGTGGTTGTCCTTCCTCCTCCTCCCTCGTCGTCGTCGTCGTCGTCCGTCGTCGGCGTCTGGTCGTCGTCCCTCCTATTTCGTCGCCGTCGTCGTCGTCGTCGTCGTTGTCGTCTTCCCTCCTCCCTCGTCGCTGTCGTCGTCGGCGTCGCCGTCCTTCCTCCTTCGTCGTCGTTCGCGTCGTCGCCGTCCTCCCTCCTCCCTCGTCGTTGTCGTCGTTGTCGTCGTTGTCGCCGTCGTCGTCCTTCCTCCTCCCTCGTCGTCGCCTTCGTTGGCGTCGTCGTCGTCGTCTTCGTCGTCGTCGGCGTCGGCGTCGTTGTCGTCGTCGAAGTCGTCGGAGACGTCGTCGGTGTCGTCCTAGCCATTGCCGTCGGTGTCGTCGTAGTCGGTCTTAAGAGGTTTTGCAAACCAAGTTGCGGGTGGGTGGGTGGGATGTTTGCGCGAGCAGCGGAGAGGGCAGCTACAAGACGGTCAAAGTGGATTGCACCACGTAGATTACACAACACATCTTGCACAGCGTAGTTTGCACCACGTGTTTTGCACAACGTACATTCCCCTTTCTAAAAAGAAGTAGACTCTACCCCCCCCCCCGGACTTATCGCTTCCCCCTGGGATAATATGATTTCATACATTTTCTCCACACTCGTCCATCCTAAATATGAAATCATACCGTCCCAGGCAGGCCAGGTTCCCCCCCCTGAGGTTCCTATGCAAAAAAAAACTATGCGGTGGCATTTTTGCTCTAACATCGCAGTTTTTCACGAATCCCTTGCAAAACATGGGACGAAGTGCGCACGCGCGCGTCGTCGCGCGCGCATGCCGAAATCCTTCAAAAACTTTCGGTGCCGGAAGGATTTCGCAATCGAGTTCCCCAACAACATACAAAAACATATGGTTTCGCAACACTGGTTTGCTGAAAAAGCTTCCGCGCGAGCCCTTGCGAAATCTTATGAAAACCAGAGGTGTTTCAAGATTTTCACAAAATGCTACCACACGGGCTTCGCGCGCGCGCATGTCGAAACCTGTCGAACGCCCTTGCGCGTGTGCCGTCGCGAGAATCCTCTGCAAAACATGGGACGAAGTGCGCACGCGCGCGTCGTCGCGGGCGTATGCCGAAAACCCTCAAAACCCATCGGTTTCGGAAGGATTTCAAAATCGTGCGTCCAAAAAACATACGAAAACCAAAGGTTTCGCAACACGGATTTTCAACAAAAGCGTGCGCGCGCGCTCTTGCGTCGTCGTCGTCGTCGTCGTCGTCGCCGTCCTCCCTCCTCCCGCGTCGTCGTCGTCGTCGTCGTCGCCTACGTCGTCGTCTGTCTTTTCTCGTGTTCGTCGTCGTCCTCTTTTGCGTCGTGGTCGTTTCGGTCGTCGTTGTCGTTTCCTTTATTTAAAAAAAAAATAGACTCTACCCCCCCCCGGACTTATCGCTTCCCCCTGGGATAGTATGATTCCATATATTTTCTGCACACTTCGTCCATCCTAAATATGAAGTCATACCATCCCAGGCAGGCCGGGTTCCCCCCCTCTGAGGTTCCCTTGTACAAAAACATTATGCGGTGACATTTTTGCTCTAGCATAGCATTTGTTCATTAATCCCTTGCAAAAACATGG